GCAGCCTTCTCTTCTATCTTCTCATGGTCTTTCAGGTTCATGGGGGTCTGTGTGCACCAGGGGCAGCTGCACGCTCTTACGGAGGTAAGCAATAGGTATAGGCCAGGAAAGAGGGAAGGCACCACACCTCCAAGTGAAAGTGTCAGGGGGTTTGGTGAATATGTAAAGAGATTAAAAAGGAGCCACCTGAGACCTTGGGACCTCCTTCAACAGGAGGCGCCCTGAACTTTCCTTAGGGCAAACCATATACCGGAATCCTCAGCTAGAGTCATTCCGTGTATCCCTGAGAACAGTGCTGACCTATGGTACTTTCTGCCATATTTTGTATCTGTGCCCAACACAGGAACTAGCAGCCACACATGGGCTAGACTAAAGCAAGAGCTGGTGTGACTGAAGAACTGAATGCCTGATTGTATTTAAATGTATTAGCTGGCATAGCTACACCCAGCACTGCTGTGATGGACAGGGCAGCCTAGGGTGTAAGTGGGAACCTTAGAGCACACTCACCTTTCTGACCTCTGTGATTCTCCTGAGTGTCACCTGGCTTATCGGTGGCAGACAGTCATTCCCCTTCTCTTTCCCCTGTGTCCCAGTATATGAATGGGGGCACCCTTGAACAGCTGCTCAGCTCCCCAGAACCCCTATCCTGGCCAGTCAGGCTCCACCTAGCTCTGGACATTGCCCAAGGCCTACGGTACCTACATGCCAAAGGTGTGTTTCACCGAGACCTCACATCCAAGGTAGAGTGGACAAGGTGGGTGAGAAAATGAAAGAGGGTTTGTGAGCATTACGTTGTGACTGGCCTGTGGATGTTGGCCTGTGGGTAGTAAATATGTTAGGATGTTGTGGTGACAAGGTGTTGGAAATTGTTAAAGAATGGGGCTAGGAGTGCTCTGAGGAACTGTCACACTGAGTATTGAATGTTGCTGCAATAATGGGGTGCATTGGAGAACTGAGAGGGAAGGTTGGGGTGATGCTGTAGTGACACAGGGTTTTGGGTATATACTGGAAGATCAGAAGCAGGTGAAGGGTGTGTGAGGATGCCTATGTGTGTGTGTCAGAACTGTCTGGTCCGAAGGGAAGACCGAGGCTTCACAGCTGTCGTGGGTGACTTTGGACTGGCTGAAAAGATTCCTGTGTATAGGTGAGGTGAATGTCCTTCATACCCCAAGCCTTCCAGGGATCCCCTATACATGAGTAAAGCCCCCAGTGATATTTTCCGTGGGTGGGGAGAAGGCTCGCCCCATCCCCTTTTCCCTGGGGGAGATGCCTAAATGGGCTTTTCTGACCCCCCTGCTCCTTCAGGGAAGGGGCAAGGAAGGAGCCATTGGCTGTGGTGGGCTCCCCATACTGGATGGCTCCAGAGGTGTTGCGAGGAGAGCTGTATGATGAGAAGGTAAGAACCTCAAGTTCCCCCAGATATCTTGAGATGGAGCCCCATCCAACAACAACCCTACTAAATATTCAGAAGCATCCCCCCATACCCCTCACTGTTGCTTTCCAACACAAGATAACTGACAACTCCTCCCCTTGGCATGGTCCGTCTCCTACCTCCAGGCTGACGTCTTCGCCTTTGGGATTGTTCTCTGTGAACTCATTGCCCGAGTACCTGCGGACCCTGACTACCTACCCCGTACTGAGGTGAAGTAACGTCCACAATAAGTGTCTCATAACCAAGGAGGGCTCCTCCCAGTGTGGCACAACTCGGCAGCCCCTCCTCTGTCCCCACAGGACTTTGGCCTGGATGTGCCTGCTTTTCAAACCCTGGTGGGAAAGGACTGCCCGCTGCCTTTCCTGCTTCTGGCTATCCACTGCTGCAGCGTAAGCTCCACTCCCTCCTGACCTGTCCTTGAGTTGTCTTCTAAGTCCTGGTGATAATGGGACTTAGAAGACACCCTTCTCCTGAGCCCTGAGTGACGCTGCCCTGTCTTTATCTGTCAGATGGAACCCAGCACCCGTGCCCCCTTTACTGAAATCACCAAGCACCTGGAACAGATCCTGGAGCAGCTGCCTGAGCCTGCTCCCCTCTCCAAGATGCTCCTTGCTGAGGCTCCCTTGCCATACAATCGGGGTAAGTGAGCATGGCCTTGACCCAACAGAAGTCCTGTCTCTCCTGAGACTCAGCTATCTGGAGGAGGCGGGGTCAGGTGGAGTCAGGCTGGATGGAGAGGCATCTCAGAGAGCCCAAGAAAGCAGAGGTAGGAAAGAAAAGGTAGAAAGGTAGCTGGAGGAGGGGCTGGTTATATGACTTGTCAGGTCAAGGCACTTGCATAAGGACCCAAGTCCTGAAAGCTTCCTCTGACCTCTGACCTTCACCTACAGCTCCAGCATCCTATGGTTCACACAGGTGTACACATAGACATATGAGTACCTCTTTTTTTTTTTTCATAAGGAAAAAAGGTAATTGGAAGTAACAGCTCTCCCTTCAGAGCACCTGTAGGACTCCTCCTGAGCTCTTGTCCCACCACCTTCCTGGGGGAATAAGGGCCTCACTCTGTGAGCAGATGCTGACAACAATGGTCATGTACCTCTCTTTCTACAGGGTCTGTTCCAAGAGGAGGTCCCTCTGCCACACTTCCCAGGCCAGACCCCCGGCTCTCCCGCAGCCACTCGGACCTCTTCCTGCCACCTTCACCAGAATCACCCCCCAGTTGGGGGGACAATCTAACACGAGTCAACCCTTTCTCTCTACGGGAAGACCTCAGGGGTGGCAAGATCAAACTCCTGGACACACCCTGCAAGCCGGCCACTCCGCTACCCCTGGTACTGCCGTCGCCACTGACCTCTACCCAGCTGCCCTTGGTGACCACTCCAGAGACCCTGGTCCAGCCTGCCCCGCCTGCCCGCCGCTGCCGCTCTCTACCTTCATCCCCCGAGCTCCCCCGAAGGATGGAGACTGCACTGCCAGGTCCTGGCCCTTCTCCCTTGGGCCCCTCAGCTGAAGAAAAGATGGAGTGTGAGGGCAGCAGCCCTGAGCCAGAACCCCCAGGGCTAGCTCCCCAGCTGCCTCTGGCTGTGGCCACTGACAACTTCATCAGTACTTGTTCCTCAGCCTCTCAACCCTGGTCTCCCAGATCAGGACCTCCCCTCAATAATAACCCCCCTGCTGTGGTGGTCAGTTCCCCACAAGGATGGGCTGGGGAGCCCTGGAACCGAGCACAGCATAGCCTTCCCCGGGCAGCAGCCCTGGAGCGGACAGAACCCTCGCCACCCCCATCAGCTCCCCGGGAGCCCGAGGAGGGCCTGCCCTGCCCTGGCTGCTGCCTTGGTCCCTTCAGCTTTGGCTTCCTATCCATGTGTCCCCGCCCCACCCCAGCTGTTGCCCGATACCGCAACCTGAACTGTGAGGCGGGCAGTCTTCTCTGCCACCGAGGGCACCATGCTAAGCCACCCACACCCAGCCTGCAGCTGCCTGGGGCACGCTCTTAGCAAGGCCTGTGACCTCAAGCTTCCAGCCTTGGCCTTCAGGATAGCCTGTAAGGACAGAGCGCACTTGCTGGACAAAGCCAACCCCAGATGGGCTGACTGGCTCTTCTCCCCGTCTAGGGGAGCCTCAGCGTGGTCTCAAAGACAGAGCACTTCCTATCCGACCCCTGGGTTTGCCTTCCCATGGGGATCACTGAACTAGACACAGCGTTGCTGACACACAAGACTAACACGTGCAAATTATTTAAAAATATTTCAATAAAACTGCCTGGCTGGCTCCGGGCCATCCATCCACTCAGCGGTTCGCCCTCCTCCCCTGACCCATCTCCAGTTTGAGAAGTTCTTAAGGAAGGCCAAAGTCCTCACTCTCTTCCCAGGAATAGTCCAGTTTCTAGGGCGGCTTTCAAGCAGGCAGCAGGTTGCCAGGCCAGGATCTTTTAGCTGAGCATGCCCAAGAGTGAGAGAATGCTGGAGGAATTGCAGTCTTCAGAATTGGCAGACCACAGGTTAAGGATGTAGGCCACAAGCTCTTGTTATGTGTCTGGAAAAATAAAGCATCAGTGAGCTCCAGTTGACTGTCACTAACCCTAATCCAGTTCACCCTATCTTCCAGCTCCCCTGTCCCAGGCCATATCTGTCCCCATTCCCTGCCCAGCCTGGCCCTACATAAGCAGACTGAGTCACTGGAGGTTGTGGATGTGACAGATTCAGGAACAAATTTACCTCTGTCCTCTGAGCCTCTGTCTACCCGTGCCCTCTATGCTTACCATTTCAGTGCAGGTGATCTCCACCAGGAAACGGGAAAGCTTCCAACTCACAAATGCAGGGATAAAGCTCTGTGCACGTAAATGATGAAAAACTCATCCATGACTCTTTAAATTTTTCTAGTTTTCTGCAGTATGGGCTTTAAGAATAAGATGGAAGTTTTGTGAATAGAATTGGGATACACAATGGAACCCTCCCTTCCCCTTGCTTTTTGTAAAAACCAGTCCAAGTCCCTATCTCCTGCTAAGGCCACTTGGTTCAGGTACAGATTTCTGAACTTCAGCTCAAATGGTTCTTAAGACCATGGAGAGAAAAGCTCACCAAAGTCATAAAAGATGAAAACTCCACCTAAGGAGCTGGGTTCACTGGTGCTCGCCTTTACTTCCTTTAAACCCAGGAGACAGGCAGGCATAGTATGTTCCAGGCCAGCCACTACACAGTAAGACAGTCTCAAAACCATGGAACATGAAGTAGCCACGCTACTTCAGGGTTCCTGAGACAAACCGCAGCTACTCTGCTGCTCTCCGCTTTCTGCTGGGGAATTCTAGTGGCCCAGTTTTCATGGACTATGCAAGCGCAGCCACAGTTTGGGCATCTTGTCAAGGCGTAGGGAGTTCAATATTAGTGTTTCTCTGGCTATGAAGCCCTAGCTAAATTCTCACCTCCCTCTGACAGATGACACAGACATCTACCTAATAACTGCTTTTGTGTTTTTGTTTTTGAGAGTCTTGCTATGTAGCCCAGGCTGGCCTTAATTCCCAATCCTACCTCAGCCTCCTGAGTGCTAGGATTAAAGGAATGTACCATTGCAATTTTTTTTTAAGTATGTGCTAGAGACCTCCAGGTACTATGGATGGAATGTGGGATAAGAATGCAGGTCAGTGAGATGGCTTAGCAGGTCAAGGCACTAAGCCTAGTGACCCAAGTGTAATCCCTGGAGTTCACATGGCAGGAGAGAACTGACTCCTGCAAGCTGTCTTCTGGCTGCCACAGGGCACCCCTCCCTCAACACATTTTTTTAATTAATATCTTAAACAGTTGTTAAATAGAAGAAACACGGAATTACAATGCTGACTTGTAGAAGTTTTGGGAGCAAGGCCTAACAAATCCTATCAGTATGCCTTTATAAGACACTGAGTTGACAATACCTCGAAATCTCATCTCGCTGATAGTGTTCTTCAGTCTGCTGGATCCAATATGACTTTGCATCATTTAGCAACTTCTTTAAGCTGCTGGGCAGAGAAACCCAATGGGAGTAGCTCTGTAAAAAGTAAGAATATGGAATAAAATGGGGACACCCTAGGAGGCCTATGTTTTACTTAGCAAGAGACCATGCCCATTTAATACATAATCATCCTCTCAGTGCCACCAGATACAGCCCACTCTCCATTTCACCTCCAAGCTGAGTAAGAATTTGGAGTGGAGGCAGTCTGAACTTCTAATCTTGGGTAATCGAGTGTCAGGGTCTGGCCCCAGTCTGCCTGAGAGGCACGAGAGCTGATGAACAGTTAAGCAGTCAAGGGGCAGGTCAGCAAGCCAAGACACACTAAAGTGGAGATGGTTCAGACATATCAGCTCTCACCAATGTTAAGCAATAGCAACACAAGACTGAGAAGATACCGAAGCTGGTGCCACATCTCCTGGCACTAGTGTGACTGTCCATATCTGTCACGGGGAAGCAATGCAAACCATGGCATGTGGCAGACATACACTGCCACTTCTGACTCAATGACACACCTCCCTTTACCAATGGTACCCACTTGAGAATATGGATAAGGGTGTGCTTACTGAGTAAGAATACTTATCAAGTGTCCATAATGTTGCCAGTTGGGAAGACAGAGATATGCAGTATTTTCGGCTCTCCTCAAAACTTCTGAGAGTGCTTGAGATATAGAAGCATCTTCCCTGTTCTCGTGTCCATCCCAGCGGACAGCAGGTGTCTACAAAGCAGAAAGAATATGACAGTCACAACACTTGGAATAAAGTGACCAGTTAGCCAGCTGGTTGCTAACAGTAGTCCCTCAGGTCTACTCTTGACATCTTCATCAACTTTAGTGCTTGATCTTTGCAATCTTTCTGCCTTTTCTGGAAACATTTTACTTCTTAACAATGTGGGAAGATTATTTTAGTGGAGCTAGTGTTACTGTCCCTTGCCTGGGCTCCCACATTGATCAATGGGCTTCTCAGGCATTCATTCATTCACTGATTCCATTTACTTCCTAACACATCTCCACTGCACATTCAAAGTTTTGCCTCTGTCCTCGACCCCTGACCACATCTTTCTCCACAACGCCATAAGCAGATAGACTTGGTTCCTGTTTTTCTGAAATTACAAACACCTCCATTTCTATATTTTCACTTAAAGATGCCTGGCTCTGTTGTTTTCCAGGTTACCTTTTAAAAATGAACATCCTCTTTAACATCCCACACCTCTTTCCATTTGATCCATCAGTCCTAGCTCTATCACTCAGAAAGCATTCCCTATCCACTGACTCGCCCGCCCTCCCCCCTCCCTCCCTCTCTCACTCTCTCTCTCTCTCTTCCCCCCCTCTCATCCATCTACATTTTCTTATGTCCCCATCAAGCTTCAAGCTTCTCCCATTGATCTATACTGTGGCAACTTAAAGGAATTTTTTAAAATCAGTGTGACTGACTTGAAGAGAGTGAGAGAATAAGAAACATGCTGAAAGGTAGGCAGGGGCCTTGAAAGTCATGTTAAGGAAAGAGGGGGCTGGAGGGAGGGAGAGAGAGAGAGACACAGAGAGGGAGAGGGAGAGGATCTCATAATGTAGCCTAGGCTGGGCTCAAATTCCTCATCCTCCTGCCTTAGCTTCCTAAATGCTGAAGTACAAGTGTGTGTGCCACTATGTCTGGCTCTGGACTTTTTATTATACTATTAGGAAGAGAAAATAATGTCAGGTTTTTCATAGAGGAGTTTTGCTCTCTATCCACATCCCATGTCTGGGCATATACTGGAGTGTATTATACCCCTTTACTACTTAGATAACTAATTAGAATGGCATGGCCTAGACCGGGACAGCATGATTAGATTTGTGGGTTTTTTTTTAAGGATTTCCCCATAACTAGAGTTGGGCCAATGGTTAAAGCACTTGCCACACAAGCATGAGTTCCAAACTTAGAATCCCCAGATCCTGAGTCTGGTGACTTAAATGAGAACGGCCCCCATAGACTCATATATTTGAATGCTTGGTCCCGAGTTGGTGGAACTGTTTGGGAAGGACTAGGAGGTGTGGCCTTGTGGAAGGAGAGGAGTCAGTGGAGGCAGGTGGTGAGGTTTCAAAAGACTTCTACTACTCCCATGTGTTCTCTCTGTGTCCCACTTGAGGAGCAAGATGTGAGCTCTCAGATGTTCCTGCCATCATGCCTTCACTCTGCCATCGTGGATCCTAACCCTCTGAATCCACAAACCCAATTAAACTCGTTTGCGTTACCTTGGTCTTGGTGTTTTGTCTCAGCAATAGAAAGTAACTAAGACACCAGTGAGTGGTAGCCATCCTATCATACCTGCCGTGGAAAGCAAAGAACCCCCACAGAAACCTGCCATATTGATGAGCTCTGAGTTTGACCAAGAGATCCTGCCTCAGTGAATAAAGTAGAAGAGCAATCAAGGATGAAACTTTGCGTCAAAGAAACTGTGCACACACACACACATGCATACATACGCACATACAAAACACACACACACACACACACACACACACACACACACACACACACACACACATGAAAATGAACAGATGAAAAAAAAAGGAGGAATACAGGTAGGCTAGGTGGAATCGTTCTGATGAGTTGATAATGGCAGTACCTGCTGAACATGATGGAAAAGGCACGATGGAGAGGGAGTCACTGCGAAAAGCAGACAGACTACTGCAGAGCAGAACCTCAGTGGCACCAGGCTGATCAATGGTACAATTTATAACACCTGATGCAGGCCTATACTAAATTGTCAGCTGGGCTCATCCAGGATTGAGTTTTCAATCAGTCTAGTGCACCAGGACCAGGAAACAAAAGAGTGGGTGATTGGGTAATAGGCTCTGGAACCCAAGATGGATTGAGAGAGAAGTGAGGATAAGAGATAGCTGTGGGAAAGAAAGAAAACTGGGACTCCCCAGGCTGGATGCCTTGGGAAGGTGGGAGGAGAGTAGAGAACCCTGTAGGGCTGGGTAGCTACAATCGAAATAGATGTCTACACCCAAGCTGTGAACAGATGGGCACCACGGGACATGAAGGTCTAAAGTGTAGATATGGGAATGGGTGGCAGCACTGGCAAGGGACTGAGAGTCATGGAAAATAAGGTGAAGGAGAGTGGCTAGGAGATGGCTCAGTAGTTAAATGTGTTTGCCACAAAAGCATGAGGACTTTAGTTCAGATACCTGGCACCCATAGAAAAAGTAGAGCTGAGCTTGGCCATGCTCTACATTGAGTGGAGAAAGCCTATCTCAAAAACTATTCTCCAACGAC